ATATATGGAACACGCACACTTTCACACATGCTCCCAGGCCTTTCCGGCTCTCCAGGAATTCGGAAGACGGGAATTACGGGAATTACGATAGGTGCTCTTGCAGCCTACGTGCAACAGGCGTTTCGAAGAGAGGGAAAAAAGAAAAAAATGGTGTGGGTGTGTGGGGGGGGACAGAGGCAGAAAACGGTAGTCAAGGCACCGCATGTACCGTATGTACTTAGAGTCCGGTTTTGAAATTTTGTTTGGTGGTAAGTTTTCTTGCAGCACAACATAAAACATCCTAATTAGTGCATCGAACGGAAACAAAGTTTTGATGGGTCTCCCTGAATTCAGCCGTATATATGTACGTACGATTTGATGTTTCCAGCCATCAGGCCTGAAATGTATGTCGGGCAACATGATGGCCGCGCAATGTGCGTCCATGTGTATGACTGAGTCCCGGAAATACTTGTTTGGATAGCCATAAGAACATGAGCTCTTTAGTTCCCTTTCAACCCACCCGGTAACTGGGTACATACTCTGGGAAATTACAGAGTGTTTTTATAGGGTCCGCTAGGGCTAGATCGAGAATGGCAATGATGGCAAGGCATCCGACGGGGAAGCATGCAGGTTGATTAAAACTCTACTCGTACTTCTCTGACGTTTGTGGACGCGACTGATATTGCATGCCATACAAAAATACGCCAAGCTCATGATTTTGGGTGTATGCAATAATGGCCCAGTTCAAAAACGTCAGAGAAATACTAGTCTCAGAGCCATGGAAATCTAGGCATTTCTGAAAGTGATATGTGAGATGCAATGCAATGCAGCTACTGGGTTAGGGTTGGCAATGCCAGACTTTTCTCTAGTTTTGCGGTCAGAAAATACCTACAGGGATGCCTACCAAAACTCTTTATCAGTAGGTACACTGTAACGCAACACGACGGCTCAGCCCATGGTGGAATGGGACATTTTTTTGGGACCACTTTTTTCTTTCCTTCTGAGGGAGATACAGGTTTCGACGACCCAGGGTATTGGAACCAGATGCATCGGAGTGTTGCACGGGAAAGGTGTTTGAAGGTGCGTGTGAAAGGGCATTGATGAGAAAGAGTTGGCCGGTTAAGCGACTGCGACTGCCGGCCATTTTCTTTGGGTTGGAGTGTGCCTATCCTGTAAACCGGCAAGTAGCCTTTTCGGGTGTTATTTTTCATCTGAGGTACTCTAATACTGTACTAGCTTTTAGTTATTGGTGTTATCCAGTCCTGTTAGCGCTGCTTCATGGGCACTCACTCGACACAATTTTTGCCTTCTATTAATTAATCGATTCATGTATTCGTGGTTTTTGACTCTTAGATACTTCTATCCAACTTATAACCAAGCCTGTTACTGTAATGGGGGGAACACAAATAATTCGTCAGTAATATATTTGTCACGCAATAGTTACTAAGTCGGAGTAAGTCACCATGTGGTAGAAATGTCACGCTCACCTATCACACCGACAATAGGACAGAGGAAGGGTAGGATCAGTTTCATCGCCACAAGAAAGCCAAAAGTAGATAACTGTGCTTTTATCATCATGTATGTATATACAACTCACTAGGTGGATTTGCCTTGGCATGATTTGCTCTCCCTGTAGGAACGAATCCACTAACACCAACTAATCAACTGCAGATCATCACTCCAGTCGGCACGGACGTTCGTGAAGATTTAACTGAGTCCCGGGGCCGGCATGGCAAGTTATTAGTACATGTATGTAGAGTACTATCAGTTGCAGGCAGGCTGAAACACGCTACGCAAACACGCAACGCAAACACGGACCTGTGAGGTGGTGATATTTCCGGCGAAATGGAACTGCCGTCAATTCAAGTCCTACCCAACACCTTCTCGGGTCTCGGATAATCTATAACCATAAACTCGACATTTCGGTGATCTTTGGTTGTGGTTATGATGGTGGTGTAGATTGCAATCTAGGTACTAGGTATCTGCTGCCATAAATTAGCCTATGGATCAATTGAGGGATGAACTTCTTACCTTACACAAAGACAGGGATACTTCTAATGATGACATTCAATCTGCAGGATTCTGCTCAGCTAGAGAGAGAGGGGGGGGGAGGGAGAAGCTTGTGGTGCACGTCAATCAGATCAGTATTAAATCCCCCCGTTTCACACGCGGAAAGAAGGTTTTTCTGTTCTTACCCCCTCCTAATCAGCCTGTTGTTATAGTCAAAAGAGGCTTATAGCTTGCGCCCTATAGTAAAGCAAATATAATTATAAGGGTATATCTATGCGCAGCTTGCTGGGAGTTTACGGCTGACTTCCCTTTATTCCTACGTCTGTGTTCCTAACATTGGAATTTTCATGCATGACATATCAGATTGAGTCAACATAACGCAGGGGAATTCAATTTTCTCGTCTGGGAGCGGCTGCAACGTACTGTAAGTGCCTACATAATATGCTGATGTCAAACATATTAAGGATTTTTTTTTTTAAAAAAAAATCTGCATACCTCGAGGTAAGTAGTCCGACTTCCACCGATGGTGACACCCTGAACCGACCTTAATCAAGCGGTTATTCCCGCACTCCTTTCCTTTGAACCCTCTGGTCCGATCTGTCATAGATGATCGAATCGAACTAGGAAAATCTTGGTCTCAAGACGTGATTCATATAGCTTAGATCATTCGGAACATAAAGATCGGTAGAGTGATAGGAATCGATTCGTTTAGGACTTATCATTCAGAAATGGATGCATACAGCTGATGGCTTAGGGAGTACGATTGACGACTTGCGGATCCAGTCTCCACTATGTCTGTGGTTGTTCTTGAGTGAGAGGGACAGAGAAGAAAAAAGCTTAAGCTTCTAATTAGTCAAAGGTACCGACCGTTTGAAATGGATCATAGATGTGTTTGATCATGGTGATGCCAGGAAATGATATCGATGTTGACGATGTTGACGACATTGACGACATTACTGGTACTCACCATGCAGCAGCAACGGTGTTCTCAATGCAGACTAATCTGGCTAGCTGCTTGAACTTAGCTTTTAAACAACCTTTCGACGACACTCAAAAAAAGACATGCTAGGCCTCTGCTATTCGTTCATCAACTATGATCAGTTGGATATATATCAATAATCACAAGTCGTATCATTCTCATATAGACGATTTACACGTGCACTGGACAAATAAAAAACTTCGCAGCTACTATATTGAAGACAACTGGTAAATACACTGTATTTGTGTTAAATTATTTTCCGGGCTCACTTTGCAATCAGTAGTCACATGTGGGGCTTCCACTAATAATAAAAGGTAGAAACATAATAAAAAGTGGATCGATGGTCAATATATTCTTCAAAAGAAGGATTGATTTCTCACGCCCCTGAGATCGGGTTCCGGATATATTCCTGTGTGTGCATGCCTAGGCCGTCCCATGGATCCAAGGCCACCAGCTAGCTTTCACGAGCAAGTACTCGACTGTAGGACCTTTTTTGAGTGCGATCATGCTATAAATAATGTTACATGCATGTATGTACCGTACTCAACGTACTCTAGAGTGCATGTGGATGGGGTTTGCAGTTGCAAAGTACGCCATGGACCTATTCGCAGGTTTAGTATATATGCATGGAGCTATTACTCTAGAGTAGATCCCCTTTTTGAAATATAATAGCTATAGTCTCTCTATGTATATATCGGCGAGAATGGATTACTATCAGCAACTATATTTCTTTTTCTATAGGCCTCTGAGAAGCTGATTCGAGTGGTGGTAAGATAAGGAAGCTTCATTTTCATGGGGATCATAAGCCACAGTTAGCAAATATAGACCAATATTTGGTAGCAGGCTGTTTGGGGTTAATAATTGACAACGAATTCGAAACCAAGGAATTTTCTAACGAAGTCACAAATCCTTGCCCTCAGGCAAATGGCTCAACATTCTTTGATAGACCAAGGATAGGTGTGGGCAATGTTGTGGTATATATATGGTTACCAAATACTACCGCATCTGGAAAAATACCATTAGGCTGCATTATTGCTACACGACTGTTATATTGTTAATTTGACTGGAGTTTTATTTTATCTCTACATCTATATTGCGGTGCAATGTTAACTCTACAGTATTTTATGTGTCTCTCTTCCGGTACTGGAGTGACACGTAGAGTTTTGTAGAGTTTTGTAGAGATTTAATTTGAACCCATGAAATCTCTAGAATCCGGCGCATGCACCTGACAGGATAATCCACGCACCTTGGAGGATAAACCAGGGTATTTGGAACGAACTTGAGATTCAAGCGAGACGAAATTCGTGTATCCTTTCGTAGCCATTAGGTGAAAAATACGGATTATTGATCTTTCAAAAACAGTGCAATTCCCGGCCGAATCTATAATACACATATTTTCAGTTTAGTGACAGCGGCGTCGAAACTAGACATCCGCTTCGTAACTACACTTTTGGTCGAGAAGGACCGCTCTAGTCGAGGGTGTCGTGATCTGCTTGTGGGTAGTACGGTCGTGCGTGCGTGTGGTTGTGTTGTCGAGTGATGATGTATGATGCGCTGGCGTAGTTTGTTTGTTTGCATAATTATATATTATATTACTTATTGTGCGCTCTGGTACAGGCTTGCGCGACTGGTTTTTTTTGTTTAATTCATTTGTGTATGCTTTTATTGAATGGTTAACCATGCCACTAAGTACTTACAACTTTCCTGACAGCACGATTTTGTTCGTGTATGATAAGATGTATTTTAATAGTTAGACATTATAGACAGTTCTCTACATTCCACATTCTAAAATCCGATTAAGAAATCCATGGGTGCCCTAATCGTTTAGGCCAATGCTGGCTCGCAATGTAAAAAAGAAAGCATAACTCTGGTTTGCATGTAAGCATCTGCCATTGCAAAGGAAATCTGTGTAAAGAAAATTATAACAATACAATCAAAAAGATACATGTGTGTATCTCTGACTTCACCCCAGCTTAGCTCAATTTGGGAATGTGGCGACACTACCGCCCCAGATCACACCACTATCAGGCCATTAGATATCCTGTTTTTTGTTCTTCATCAGTTCCGTCATCTGTGCCAGATGCTTCCTTGTTTCCAAAAATGCTCTCTCTGCCCTTTTCGCTGCCATTTCCGCCTCCTCGGCAGCACACTCGGCATCACGACTTTTGCTCACAGCATCCACCATAACCCTGCTCATCTGCAGCAGTTTCTCACGTCGGGCACTCTGAGGCTCATTACTCGCAGCGTTGATAAGATCCATGCAGACAGCAATGGGATTTCTCTTCTTCTCGTCCTTGGAAGGACTCTCATCGAGGCTAGGAATATTGGAGGTGTAATATCTTCCACCTAGCCCATTAAAGGCTTTTTTTCCGTCAGGAGTCTGAGGAATCTGAGCTGAAAGGCGCTTCATGAGATTCACAACCTCATCCTGGGAGAATTCACCGTGGGGTGTTACGGGCGAAGATCTTTCTTTATTCTTCCTGATAGTGGCATACTTGAGGAAACCTCCACTTTCAGTATGAGAAAACTTTGGTGATCCCCTGCTAAGCCAGCCCACAAAGTTCTCAAGTGGCCCAGACTTAGATCTGGCAGTTCCACTAGAGGTGGACTGAAGGGAGTGTTGTTTTTTATCGATACAAATGCGGGAATTCTCCTTCTGGGAATCAGTGTGGATAAGTGATCCAACCATGGGTCCAAGTATTCTTGAGGTGCCACCGAACCAAGTGCAACCACTCGGCGTAACCCGTGGATTACTAGCAGATCCAATTTCAGTGATATCAACCAACACGGGACTACTTGATTTCCGGTAGTTGGTAGTAAATATCTGTGATTCGTCCATAGTCGATTCGCCTGCGCCATTGGTTTTGGATATCTCATCATGAAAGGTGGCTTTGTTAATGGACTCAACAGAGGTCAGAGATGTTCTGGTACTCGCTCGATGCGGAATGGCTTCCTCCTTCTTTAGGAAATCGAAACTTTTATCATTCCTCCGGTATGCCGGGTTGGATAGTCCTAACCTTCGATTATCAAACGATTGTCCTTTAGGGCGCCGAGAAGGTGGTCCAGAGAAAGCCGCCCATGAGCTTCCAGAAAGAGGAGGCTGATCAAGGGAGGAGTGCAAGTGCTGAGGAGACGTGTCATTGACCAGCGGTTTCATATAATTCCTTTCAATGCCTGGAATTACGATGCTTTTCGGGCTGGTAACGTCTCCGAATCCAGTATTAGCTATTCTCTGACCATTCCTTCCAGGATTGGGCATATTACTCTTCTGCTGATTATTTTCACCATCCACCCTCGGCTGTGGAGAAAGGTTCGAAATGTACGAATTATGAATGCAATTGACACCGGAATTTTGGCTTGGAATATATGAATGAACGCAACGCCCAGTCCCAATATTTTGGGCTGTAGTCTTATTGGGACGTTCAGCGTTCTCTCTCGCTTCTTCAATCATATATCTTTGAGTTTTGAGGTGCCCTTTGGAGAGGTTTCTAGCGGGGTCTTGTCTCTGGCGACCATTTTCATGAATTGAGGTTTTTCTGTCAGCCTGCTTCGAGTTTGGGATCTTCGAAACACTCTCATGTGAGGGATTCTTCCTAATAACTTGGTCGGTCCTCTCTATCTCATTAGCACTAGGTATAAACGGGCTAAGATCAATCGGATTCGAGGAAAGAGTGCTATTAGTGCTAGATTTCAAGCTCATTTCAAGTCTTATTTGTTTAGCATCAATATCATCTGCGGGGACAACACATATGGCCCCTTTCGAATTTTTAACGATATTTACGATTCTTGGCACCTCTCGAGGACGTTTGGGCTCGGGGCTATAGTTCCGTGACCATCTTTGATCCTCGTAGGTCCTTCCCCGGTATTTCATGCGAGCTCCTTCGCTAGATGAAGTAATCGAACCGGGAGATGTGCTATGTTGGCGACTACTTCTCTCGAGTAGCTTAAGGGCTGAACCAAAATCCTCGTTAAGAGTAGAGGGCTCACATCTACCCACAAGGGCTGTCTTATTAGGAGCTGCAGAGGTTACCGTATGTGAGCTTTGTGTAACTGTTTTGATTGACGATTCTGATTTTGTCATTGAAACTTTTGTTGGGAGGTAACCATGTTTTGTCCCACCCTCGATGCCTGCATCTTGCACGATAGTGTTGAAAGATTTACTAGCAGGAATCGGAGTTTTGATAGAAAAGATCACTGGCTTTTTATAGCTCGCATCTGTCGAATTTAGCGCTATAGTTGAAGATGTTGGAAGCCCTTTTCCTCTAATCGCTGATGAATTGAGCGATGTGCTTTCTAGAGACAAAGTCTTTTGAGATCCTGAGTTGGCTCTCCCGGGTTGCTCTGTATTTGCTTTCGGAGGCATAGGATAGCTAGAATTGCCACCTTTTGACTCATGTCTCAAGCCCGGGAAAGAGAAAGCCTGAGGGAGAGGCTTGTCTTTTCCCGGGATCCTAGTAAACTTTGATGTAGAGTTAGGGGTGGAGCCTTTAACTGGGATAACACTCTTCTGTCCCATATATTCAGAACGTTCAGGCTGCCTGATAAGCATATGAACTTCAGAGGGTTGAACTGTCGTTTTTTTCCTAAGTAGGAAAGGTAGACGTGATGGCAGTTCTGCCATGCGGCTTGGGATGCGTGAATGGTATAAAAATGTAGATTCTGGTTCTTTCCGGGTACGGGAGGGAGTAAGATCAAGACTTTCATTATGCCCACTCACTTTAAATCCTTTGCTCTCCTTTACTGACTTCTGTTCTGGAGAGAGAGTTTCCAGTCGCAGGTTTTTCGGGGAACTTCTTGTTAAAGGGATGACGGAATGATTAGAGATGGACCTAGGAGGAGCCAAGTGACTTGATAGTTTATCATGGCTTCCAGGTCTAGAAACACCAGAATCAGAGTAAGGTGAATTCGGACGGCTTCCATTAGAGCGACTAGGTAGCTCATGCTTTGGATATATACTCTGTTATTAATATTAGTTATTTATAAGGCCTGCTAGATGAAGTAGATCTATGGGGATTTAAAGCTACCCATTGATTGGGTGGAGTGCTGCACCCTGTCTTAGATTTCTTGCTCGAATTCCTCAGATGACCCAAGACAACGGTATTAGATGATTCAGCCTCAGATACGTAACTGACAACCAAATCAACTGTACTCTCTGGGGAGGCAGAACAGTTACGAGTGCTATTCTTCCTGGTCTTGATGAGTTGTTCCATGTCGTAGTATTTACCCTCAAAAAGCTACAAGATAGGCAATACAAATTAGATTGTTTATCAGTAAAAGGTAAATTTATAAAGACTCGGAGAGTGAACGACTCAGCGCAATAGGGGGCGGGGATGGCAAACAGTCAAACTCGTCACTGCCTCGGTGCCCCAACACAATCCCCGTAGGGTTGCAAAGACTTTTTGAACTTTGATATCCATCGGCATCTCAGGGAGATCAGTCTGTATCTTATTCTTTAAGTCCATAAAATGGTCACCCCATTGCTTATCGTCCAGAGCTTGCAGGATCTATGTTTTTATTTATTAGGTAAAGTTGAAGAAGTAAGAATAAGAGAATTGAATTTATGAATTACCATTGAAAGATTTTCTTCATCGTCGATGAATTCGTCTCTCTGAAGGCCATTTACAGTCACCTCAGAGGGTTTCAACATGATGAGACGCTCTTAGAATCAGTAATTCCTCCTTGATGTCTGAGGGGCGAGGCGGAAAGGAAGTCCAAAGTTAGCATATTTGTAGTCTCGATACTGTTGTATTTATTGCAGACTAGATGATGTGTCGAGAAAACAGGGTTTTATGAAAAGAAAAACAGTCAGGTCTGGTTTGGTATATATATACGTACTGCAATTCTATCTCCGTATTGATCTTACTGGTTCTAATTGAAGGTACTTAGAAGCCCAATAATACGCTCTGATGAGGCAAGAGGGTTTGAATAAATGTTATCGATGAAAGAACTGATACCATGAAATGGAGGAAGGTAAGATGACGATATCTAAAGGATGGGGGTGGGAAGAAAGACAGGTGGAGACACTAGTAGAGACCCAGGAAGGAAGTAAATACTTATGTAAGTCTACACTAAATATACCTGGATGCACCTAAACAAATGCTAGGGAAGGGTAAGCAACCGAGATTCTGGCCAGATGTATCAGTTATGTCATGTGCGAATAAAGTTGCAAGAAATGCATGAAATAACATTTTATCTTAGAATTTCCTTGAGGAGTAACACTCGGGAGAGCCCAAGGTCGTGTATTACTATTGCGATATATATATAAATGTATTACATGGTACCCATGATAGTATCTCCAGCGGTCATTCACAGATCTACAGCTGCAGTCCTCGATCTTGCCTCGGAAGTCGTCCAAACATATTGTACACCCGTCTTGCTGTATTATAGCTCTGTGAGGAATGACTGTGCTCATATAAATATTTCTTGACTTTCAAATCATCGATAATTAGTGGGAAACCTATTAATCATGAATTATCACTCGGACAATTATAAAAGTGTTAGGTGCAATTTTAAGGCCAGCGCCGGTTGGGACAAACAAAGGCATTACACGAAATTTTTATTTGTAATTTCTTATGCTAAGCCTTACCAAAGGACTTAATACTCAAAAAATTGCAATCCCTTTTCGCCAATATCCTTAGAAACCTCTACTTGTAAGCACGGATTTCAGGGAGCCAGTCCAGCTCCCAGGCTCCCCCTAGTACCCTTGATATTCATAAACCCTAATGACCCCGAATGCTCATCGACTGGTGTGATGACTATAACCTCATCTGGTGTCGCATCCGCTTGTCTCATCTTCCAGGCCTCCTTCCTCTCGATACTCCCATCAGGGCCAGGATCTTCTCCGTAGCTGGGTATGTCGCTCTCAATCTTCTCGAGAACAATAGTAGGGGCTCTGGGCCTCATCCTAGGCGCTGGTATAGACCCACCCTCATCTGTAGAGTTGGTAATTGTGTTGGCAGGACCAGGAATGAGGAGAAGCGACTCAGCGTGTTTGGTGGCCGCTTTCTCGGAGGGCAGAGCTTCGCCGACGGCGGCGGAGGCGGCTTCCTGAGAACGAATTTTGGCTAGAACCTCAGGATAGAATTTTGCACCGACATCTGGATGGGACTGAGACGAGCTAGATCAGTACACTGAGTTTTGCGATTTGATTTTGAGGGGGTTCTCTTTGCACGTATTCACATTCGAAAAAGCAAAAAAAAAAAAAAAAAGAGAGAAAGGAGAGAAAAATGAGCCATACCTTAACCCGATTCACAAGCGTTGCCTCACCCAATAAGCGAAAATCACCTGGCTTGGGACTTGTCTCTGCATCCCCTTTTACAACCCCCCTCTTCAATTTTTTCACCTCCTCCGGAATCTCTATGCTTTCATATCTCGTATCATAGCTCACACCCTGGAAGAATGGTATCGAGAAACGAGACCCTTCTCCCGCGGCCGGAGCGATTACGCGGTGGGTTGTTGCAACACAGACTCCTCCAGTGATTGCTTCCATCCCCTTCCCCATTGCCACCACGAATGTGCCTGGAATTGGGGGACAGTCAATCCATGTTCCTGAATAATTCTGAATTTGTAGTCCTTTGTGATCAGATGCTTGGAGGAGGTATGAAGAGAGGTCCGAGTCTTTATGTGGCCCAACTGCATCGGGTTAAGACGTCAATATCAACAGACTGCCATTTCAACTCCTTGAAAGAAAAAGAAAACCAGGAATAATCACACCAACCTCCCAGAACCTTATCACTCTCCTCAACCTTCAATTCTGCGGCATCCGGGTACCTAACTATTTTCAATCGATCCTGCCTCTTTGTTCCGCTAGCACTTTCGCTACCCTCGTAGTACTTTGCAAACAAGTCCCTCTCCAAACCAAGTGCTTCCGCGACAAGGCTCAAAAATTGCTCAGAGAAGCTTCCCATCGCATCCATGTATTCTGTATAGGTCTTTTTAAACTCTGGGAGGGCAGACTCGGAGGGCCATTGGTTGGGGCCTCTGAGCCAGCGGTAGCGAGGTTCGTCGTCAGCAGGAACCGGAAGCTCGGTACCGAGATCGAATTGCTCACGCCAATCGGTGGCACTTTTTGTTCTGTATTTTCATTGGATCAGTAATTATGAAAGGAAGTGATATATGTGAGGAGAGATCATGGGTCTGGGGGTATTAATCAGGATGACGACATACATCTCATTTCCCAGGCGACTGTATCCAACAAAATGCGGAGCTATGTAATATCCAATCTCGGGGGTTAGCATCAGCATCAATCTACAAATACAACACTTCACACACATAGACTCCGGGCGCTCCAATGATCACCTTCGAGTTCCGTCACATTAAGGCCGTATCAAATCCAACGTTTCTTTGGTTTCGTGGAACGAGAGAAGGGTTCCTTCTGAAGGCGAACAGGACAAACTTACAATTCTTCATCTCCAGCCGCAGTTTCTCTTCTTCTGGCAAATCAAAGAAAGCCTCCCCGAGCCTCACAACATTATCCACAAGCACAGTATCAATGCCCGTGTTCTTGACGTAGAGAAAGCCCACTTCAAGGAGGGCGTGCTTCAGTTTCTCAAGAAATGCAGGTTTTGTTTCTTCGGACGTGGAAAGAGCATAATCCAGCACTGGAACTTCGGTAAAGTCGGACATTTTCTTTGTTGCTTGAGTAGTCAATCACACTGGAGTGAATGATCCGAAAGATAGAAGGATGGGATAAAATGGGGGAATTTAGACTTGATATAGGTTGATTGTTACCAGTTCTAGAATCTTGTCATTCCTCCTACCAGGTAAGTCCCGTGTGTCTTCCCCTCACTGGAAAAACGAAATAATAGCATAGCCCTGTTGCTGACTTGTCACAGGGCACCCTCTCATGAGGAGGGGTTGTCACCATCTTGCTACCGACTGTCCAGTCGTCTCCGATATCCGGACCCTGTTGGGGAATGGCGTGGCGTGGGGAAGATGCCAAGAAACATGCTGGTTTTAAGCGAGCCAATCAAGTAGTTATCCAGCCACAGTGATCAGCCACGCATCAGCTGGGTCAATGATTGTCATGATTGCTGCGGACCTTTCCGTGCCATAACAGTCACCGGAAATGTCATCGGAGTCCTGCCAATTCTTCTAATAAATTTAGCTACAGACATAAATAAATCTCTTCTCCAGCTGCATGCGTCCGGGCCATATATACACCGCTTGATTTCCAGATATATATCCTACTCCTACTACTCTTACTCCGAGACTGCTAACTACATATTTAACTACCTTTTTAAAGGGCGATCTTTTCTAATTTATACGATGGGCTTCATACACCCCATTTTCCGTTCATTATTACTACTGCTGCTACTTTTGTTTTCTGCCATTTTAGCGACATTATGCAAAGCTTCTCCAATCTCACCCGACACATGGGACCTTTACATTCAAGCGTATCCCGCACACGAAGTCCGTCCTCTTAAAACCTTCTACACTGAAGGGACTGTGGACATCGACACAAGTCAACACAAGCCAAATGTCACTTTTATTCTCAAAGGCCAAGGGTCCCTCATAACCTTTGAATTTGCACAAAACATTACTGGTCGGTATGTACGTCGCTCCTTACAGTAATAACTAGCTCATCACCTATACTGACAAATCTTAGATCTAGACTATACCTCGAAACAGATACTAAACTCGCATCTAAGAACCAGTCCATCGGTATCTCGCTTTCTACCTCTGCTCATCGACGAGATAACAGTACCCGACTCCTCCCTCTACTCAACGGCACTATCATAGAAGATGTCCGTGACGTCTTCAAATATGTCACTCTTTTTATCCCTCCTTCATCCTCTTCAGTCTCCAAAAATGGAACAGCAACCATAGCACTACGTGATGTGTGGGTTGCCTACTCAGACAAGATACACGAAGAGAGCGAAGAAAAAACGATACTGGAAGAGATAACTGGGGATGGGTTAGAGGTGGAACTTGAGGAAAAAGATGCAGAACAAGTTAAAGCGGAAACAATCAGAAAAGCGAAGAATAGCTTATTGGCTGGTATATTAAAGATATTAAAGGATTCTTGGGGAGGATAGGAGACCTGGCTACACATAACTCTGGCTTTTTATTGCGATTGTGGTTTAAAGCCAATTTCTTTTTGTAAATAAATTTGATTTATGATAAGATGTTACAGACAGTTAAATATTTCTCTATTCTGGTGGGACTAACAGTACATGTATTTTTTATAGAGGTAAAATTAAAATCGTGATTCGTGAAAACTATCCGGGGAAAAGAAATGTACGTTTTAAGCATAACTGATCAGAGAGTGGTAGAAGATGTACATATGATCCAAGAGAGATGCGAAACATCTTATCGAAACTATATCGCGATTACATGTAGTCAATAACAGTGGCAAGATATATGATATCATGTGTCAATTTCTGGATAGAGCGGGAGTATTTGGACCCAGAAGCGCAGGCGCGGAAGCCACAACCATCGATCACCATATACGTGGCGAGAATTAATTAATTACATTTAATAAATAAAAACCATGCTCCTTTTTCCGTCTAGCTCTAAAATCACCGGCGGCCATCACGATATGATCTTAGTGACTGAATATATCAGTGAACGGCATTAAATTTTCTTCTTTGTATTCTTTCATGTTCTTTACGTAATTACATATAGCAATCGCAAGCCTGCAGGTTAGTACTAATCTTTCACTACATGTAATTACATGTAGTATTGGTGTTGATTGGTATGGGTGTTAGCGGCTACATACATGTACATGTAGTAATGGGTAAAGTTGGGGGTCATGTCACGATTTGGGTTTGGGGCGGCTTCCTTCCAATGTATGGCACCAAGTACCCTGGGTTGCGATCCTGAACCGCGTGCACGACGTCCACAACTTGAAAGACCGATCTAATATGAAACTTTATCATCTTTCTATCTATCTTTCCTAGTTCCAGCTCGATGTTGGGTTTCTTTAGTCTCATGGTCATATTTAGACCCATACAATCGCTATCAATGTAGTTAACGCCATCCATACAGGGCATTAACTTGATCGTGTTTTCAGTAAAATTTGTTTTAATTATACATAAGTTGTTAACTATTAATTTGTATCTCCAACTTTCAAATCGCATCATATATCATCAATACCAATCAATGTCCAAAGACCCCTACACCGATGCTTGATCGAGGTAAATAGAGTGAGGATCTAGCTAGGAGCACGGGTATATAGATTGTTGAGAAAGAAATCATGATATCAAGGGGAGAGATAATAAGAAAATCCGCCTGAATAAAATGAGTAAGGGAAACTAGACTACACCAAGATGGAACCTTGCCCACAAAGTCCTTCTAAATCTACGTAGCTGCCTCACACCATCTTATGCCAACTATATAATCTTTATGAATTCCTTGATCCGTTCTTTCAGAATCATCTCTTGGTTTGAGACTTTGTTGGGGTAGGGTGCAGGCGTGGCCAACCATGGCATGTCCCTCGCGAACTGCAATTCTCGCATACAATGCATTTGCATCCAGTACCGGATCCACAACCATGAAATTCCGTAGACTGTAGCCGAAGTCATCCGGTAGTGAGCATAGGAGCTGGGCGGTATCTTTATCTCCTACCGCTTTCTCGGTAGTAACAATTGGGGTCTTAGCGGCCTTTGTGTATTCTCGATAGCGCCTTGTATGGCTCTGATGCGGCTGTACAGAATAGGGTGATGTGTCCATACTCTGGCCAGTATTACCAGGACGTTCTGATGGAACCATGGCCAGGTAGGGAGCATCAATACTGAGGGCGGGTGTAAGTTCCGTCTGATTTCCCTGTGAACTTTCTTGGAAATTTAACGGTATTGCTACTGGCGAATTTGATATGTGAGAGCCCATGTGTATATCGATACGAAGACTCTTGTCATGCCCAAAGGGACACGATTGAGATTTGACTGAAGGTGCATTGAGTTGATACATGGATACTTCTTCTATAGTATCTCGAGGTAAAACAAGAGCTAAAGAGATAACCAGGAACACAAGGATGATTGGAAAGTAAACTGAGTAGGCTCCGATATGACCAAGAGGGTTAAGGCATATAAAATTTACCTGGCTAAAGTTCAAACGGGTCTTTATACCAGGACCAAGGGACGTACATAATCAGACTAGGGGTTTACGACAGCTTTTTCAAAACTGTGTTCACGACGAGCTCGAGGTTCTCATGACGATGTACGTACATACATGTACATTCAAATGCGGATGGCGTTTCACGCGTGTACTGTTGGCGTTTTCGAGCTGTATGCACTAAGCCAACGTAACTAGCCGCATTTTTGCCGTTTGTGAGACTTTAACACACTGCAGCTAACAGCTGCAGAGGCATTTAAACAGCAGATTTTTCATAATTAACATTGAAAGCCTAGATCTAGAGCGGAGTCACAATAGTAGTGTATTCGACGATATTATATTATCAATAATGGCATATCTATCATTGGCATCCTGAGAAAATCGGTATCCGTAAATTGAACTGTTACTTGGTTGGAGTATACATGTATTCTCAATAGCATGTCCGTGTTCCCGACTACGCGCTACTACTATCGAGGCTTCACTAGTATAACTCAAGCTCTAATGTGATAGAACAGCGCCCCTTACCTTATATAATAAAAGATTTAGATAATTCAATACCTTAATAAAACACACCTATAGGCTTACAGCTCACACTTAGGCAAAAACTGGTAGACTGGGAAAGCTTAAGTTCTTGAATTTATTATATCAATACCGAATATTTGACTAGTGTACTATCGCACCAGGCCGGCCAGCCGCCGTTTCTCTAGAAATTCAAAGTGTCTGGGTGGTCCTAATGAGTACTGCCCTGTCTTAAGCTTGTATCGCATGGCGTAATTAAACGACGCTCGCCTCAATCATAAATTAAATTCTTAGAGGTATCCATATCCAAGTTTTAGGCTGCTAGCTTTGTGTCTCATGCGTACCAAAAGAAAGTAGGCAGAAAGGCCTGCATGTGCATGGAACAAGTCCTAAAATTTAAACTCATGTTGTGTACCATAGATGAAAGTATATCTAGATCCTATGACTTCTCTTCGGTGTTACTCCACAAATATGACTCGTAGACGTAATTGCCCAAGCGATTTCAGATATCTGTCATCAGGCTGGGAGCCTTCAGTACTCGGTAGATGCGTAAATGCATATGGGTGATCTAGCGCAATAATCCCTTGAAAGGTTTTCCTCCACCACTCCTTAGGCCTTGGTTCGCCCCGGCACACGAAACATCAGGCTACTTCTTCATAATGTATATATATTATTTACCCGATAAGTCCATAGGTACATGTATACGTACCTCGATCATGGTGATACATGTAGGAGCACCACGTAGGTACACGAGTGCACTCTCAGGTCAGACCAGAATTGAGTATATTGTGAACACATGCCCAAAAATACCCCGAAATACCTGAATAATTATCTTGATCGATACAAGTAGTTAATGATACACATACATACGTTATATGAGCTTCTCCCCATTCTTATATAAATGTTGTAACGCCACAAAGCTCAAAGTCCTCATATCGTAATACCCTTATCATCCGACTCTCTCAGGGGCAAGCAAAGAAGGACCTCACCCGGCAATTAATTAGACAAGGCTACATCCGGCTCAAATGGTAGCTACATACACATATGCGACGTTAGCTAATCGAGTCTCAATCTCTTTCAGGCTGTGTTGTCGCTGTTGTTGGTAATATAATAGGGTCGCGATCATCACGAGACAACGCGAGGTGGCGCCCTGGACGGTGTTGACAGTTGTATATCGAATTTTCTCCCACATTATGTACATGCATGTACCTATGTTGAGAGTTACTTCTAGCTAGCTTGAGAAGAGTATGAAGGCCCTAATAGGAGACCTATGGTAAACAAGCTGCATATTAAAGTTAAATATATGAATATCGTTTACCGGGTGAAGCTAGAGACGTTGCTCCAGTATAATCCGGTGCGTAGCGTGATACAGACCCGGGAAGACCGAGCCTAGGCATTGAGCAAGGAATTGCACTCTCACAACCAACGGTATGTGGATTTGAAAAGCACTCAATTGGTCTAGCTAATACCTATTATGTGATGGAGAATTATATCGAGTGATATCTTATGATTAAACTAACCCGAATAATATGATATTGTGCATGTAATCAGGATCGAACTGACTATCGGTCTTCATTGAATCTTATATTGGCACCTATAATCTGGTATTGGATTCTTGAAATTACGTAGAATAATAAGAACTTGTAGTAGAACAACTCGAAACAACTATACCTATTCTGGAATTCGAAAATTTATGAAAATTTGGGTTCTTATACCTACATGTGAAATTTTCATACACCAAGCTCGCTCCGGGGCCTGATTATCGCACTGAGCTGGTGAGACGCATTATCCAAATGTATCAATATCTGTATAGCGAGCTAGTGAAGCAGGGACGTATTGTTACTTACTATAATATTGGGGCCACAGCTTCCCCGCCTGCAATATATGCTGGGCCGATTGTCCCCCTCGATCGCAGCATCTCGGTACGCAGAAGACCCGGTTGTGTAAGAACTTTATGCTTCGAGGTTTACCTCGCCAACCGCCGTCCCACTTCATAAATACCTGTGCGCACTAATGCACCTCCACATGGTTCGCACTAATTGTACGTACGTATACAAACATGCATCTCCACCGATCTATCGCAAGAAACTTTGAGCCGTAGGTTTCATAAATCTTAATAAACTCAGTTTTAAGCCAGAAGCTTACAGATAGCTACAGTTCAATTTTCAGCCGTACGTATAGATAAGTCTCGGGATCATCAGAGTCAATTGCAAGGCAACGGCCAACCAATGTACTCGAAGTAGTGAGGTTGTCCAAAGTATGAAGCAGGTCCAAAAGTTCGGGCGTTTCCGGCATGTTTACGTGCATAGCACGCTCCCACCCGATACTCGTGATTCATCACATGTTGCATGCTCTATGCCTCTGACTGAACGTATCTTCCTCGCCAATTTTGAGATACCGCACTTTCCTATTGGTCTCGAGGAGTACAATGTAGAAAGCCGCAATGAAGGTGCCTGAAAGTGGAGTGTCCACGGGAGGTAAAATTTTCTTCTAGAGTGCTCACATCTGTTGATTAATATATCAGGGAACGTTTCTACGATCAGTTGCCCCGAGGGAAAATACACGATCGTAGGAAGAAATACCACAATACATTTAGTAAACGTCAGCTCCCCAAATTTCAAACTCACCAAGATTATTTAATTAACGCCTTTCATGCAATCTTTAATATGAAATTTATCCTTCAACGGAATATTCGTCAAGAACCCAAGGAATTGCGCCTAGCTGATTGGCTTGACGATGATAATATACAATACGGGAAACCCGGGTGTGATTAGAGCCGTACAAGTTTTGCAGGTTTAAAAGTGACGTAGTAAAACCATAGTAACAAAGACACCGACTTTTCAAAGAAATATTTTTCTATAGAAGCACTTTTTTTAACATATAGTAGAGAACTGGTGTTCTTCAAAAAGGGTCATTTTGGTCACAAGCTGCTTTTTAGAAAAAAGCGGGGTTTAAAAAAAGCCGTACCAGCACGCCTTTAATATACCATTAAAATACCAAAATATTCAAAAGCATAGTAGGTGTCTGGAAACTAGCAGGTCTCCGATATACAATTGAAAACTAATACAAGTAGTAGGTGTTCTGAAGATTCCTCTTGTACATGTGTATGTTGAGATTGAAATCAACCTCAAGATAGAATTACAATTTGGCAATTCCATCGAGGGGTTGCGGGATGAGTCCACATGTATGTATATACATGTAGGAGAGTTGTGAGTATAGCATGTATCATGTAGGTCTAGCCTAGTGCCATACCCTGATACTAGCGCGGTCACAGAACTCAATTGTGTGACCAGCTAGGCTGAGCTAGCTAGCAGTATTGGTACGGCTTTTTTGAGCATACCGTTCTTTTGGGATAGCGTATTTGCATGAAATAACCTTTGTTTGCAATTATAGTATTCATATGAATACCGAATTAACCCGAGCCGAATGAGCAAGCTTAATGCTCATAAAAGCCACATCACTACAAGACTACTACTACTCTAATCACACCCCATTTTCCACCATTGTAGTGATCGTGATCGAGTGTAATAGTATTTAGATTGTGAAATGCCGGGTTGGCAAAGGAGACTGGTAAAGGTACTGTCACCCGGTTAGTGGTGTATGTACCTACATGTACATAGTAATTATAACTGTGGTTTTCGTTCGTGTTCGTAGCTTGTAGCCTAATCAGACCCACTCAAGCCGCAGGCATTTCCCCCTCAGAGTTGCTTCAAGCTACCAGCTGAGCTTTCGATCAACTGTATGATTAGCTGTCTTCAACCATCCTCAGCAGAATTGATGTCAAATATACCGCTCCAGATCTTTCATGTTGTCCCAAAGAAGACAATATACCTGCAGCTGTTCAATGGTGTGCTCGCTCCGCGTGTAAAGTCTCCCACCTTGTCATATGAGGTACGTACGCAAAGCCAGTCAGGGTTAGGTTTGATGGATGAGTTGAGAGTCATGAATCCGCTCGCGGGAAGGTATCTACTAGAGAATCCTCCTACCCAACTTCAAAACTGAATCCGTCTCAACCAACTCATGCTATAGTTCAGTGAGATGGCATCGATAGAAACACTGTCAGCTCTAACAGTGCCAAAACTGAAGGTCCCTCCACATATATTTCGACATGCATCTCAGACTCGATCATAACTAACCAGCCCATTCTCTGTAGGACAAATGCCGTGAGCTAGGGCTACCTGTTGGGGGAAAGAAGACAGACTTGATCACGGTATTTGTTTATACTCGTTCTACGAGACTCCACCTATTTCAAGAGTTAATAAAAATATACTTACATGGGAATCCCAACCAGCGGATACAAAATAAATTATCAGATGCCAGTGAAGTTATTGCTCCGTCAGATGCATCTTTATCTAAACCAACTCCGAGCACATCCGTTGAACCCACTAAGCCCGCAGCGCGTACGAAGGGTTCAATAAAAAGAAAAAAATCTCTAGAAAGTCTCGCTTGTACACCAAGTAAGAAGGTTTCAGGGAATAAGAAAAAAAGAACATCAAAGGATGTAGAGGTAACAGACAAAACCCCACCTACCCCACCAACAGCACCAGCACCGGTACCAGCACCAGCAACAGCAACAGCAGTGAGTATTTCTAAGAGTAATCTTCAAAGCGCGGCGCTTCTGAATTCTCGCGAAGACAACGCTCGGGAAGGGTCGAATATCACCGGAACAGCCAAGGTAATATTTACTTTAAGGGAAGTCGATGTGAAAACGTGTATATTGACCTTTTATTAGACAATTCCTCCTGCTACTACTCCCTCAGAGATTATGCTCCCTGGTCGTCCAAATAGGTTTCGAGCATCCAATCCTGTTACTAGCTCGGGCGTAAATCCCAGCCCGCGGAATAGAACACGATCTTCTACACACGATAAAGCCGCCGGGCAATCAAAAGATACCCATAATCAACCAGAAATCAATAGTAGCAATCCGAATCAGGGGAACTTACATACTACTGCACTTAAACTCAACCCGGTAGCCACTAAGGACCCTGGTGAAAACGAGAAGACCGTTACAACGAAAAGAAAGGGCGTATTAGCAGTAACTAACCAACGAAAGGGCGGTGTTCAGGGGAGTACCAGTGTGCACCAGTCTTCACTAGATACGATAAGACCCCCGAAGGCGGATACGCGTAGATTCTCTGGACTATCTGTTGCATCTTCACCTGGAGTTGGGTACCAAGAGAAAGATAACCCGGGCGTGGTGGCCCCCGTGGGAATTAGGGAAGCCACAATTAGCCCAAGTGAGGAAGAATCACGCCTTAATATCGAGCACACAGAAAAGAATATCACTGTTAGGCTACCGGTACGAGGATTCAAAGGGCTCAAATTAAGGATCAAAAGTAGTAACTATGTAGCACTCATTGCGTTGGGTTGAAGGGTTCATGGATATAACTGACTCTAAAATAATGCAGCCATGGATTCAAATAACGACACTGTTCCAAATTCTTCATCTAATACCAGCACTCCACCAGCTCGAAAGCGTGATGACGAAATTTTAGCATCGATCATTCGCAATCCTCCTCGATACACCTTTCGAAGAGAAGTTGAAAGAATTGCACGGGTTCTAGCATTGGTGGCTTTTTATAGCTGCTCGTTCGAAGACTCAACCGCACCGGGATATTTTCTGAAGCGTCTTGCCTTGGTATCACGGAAATATAGATATGCTTCTACCCTTGCATTTACAAACCTGGTAAAGTTGGAATTCCGTGGAAAGAGGACACAAAATTGGTTCAAAAACAAAGGGATAGACGAAAAAGTAGCAGATGTAAGATCCTGGTACTGGCATCGTGTATCTGAGAGAGCAAGTATTATTGAGCGGTTTAGGACATCGTGGATGGAAAGAGTCTGGAGATTTCTTGTGCTGGCGTTAGAATCAATAAAGCCGAGCATAGTGGGGAGTCCCAAGCCTGTGAAATTCGGGTTGTGGTTCAACGGGATAAATCAACACTTAATAGCCGATCCTGATTTCACCGGTCAATTTGAAACTTCAATAAGATTCTGGATCCGTCGGTTTTACGTATGGGTAACTGGAAATGGCGGTGGATATCCATTACTACTTCAGGACCTGCGTGATGAAATGGTACAGGACATCCAACCGCTCGTTGAGACCGAGAACCAAGACCTGTGGAGAGTAGAAACAAAATGTGGGGATATTCATTTTATCGTGGGATTAACTGGTGAGGTTATAGGACGGGTCGAGGTGGACGAATCTGCGGAGAGTGGTTTAAACCCGGTGCTTAGGAGGCCCAGGACCAGAATTGGCACAATTATTCGTTCAAGAACCAGAGCTTCTAGACTGTACTCACAGATAAACGAAAGAAGACGCACAAATATAGATAATGTTACCTGGAAGGATCTTAGAGAAGATTGGAAAGAGCATGCTTTAACTCTGGTTTCCCCTTTAACTACTCCCGAAGAACTAAATACCTCGTTACGAAGGCTTATAGAGTCTGTGTACCGGCCCGATTCTAGGACGGTTTCAAACGGAATCCATGAGTCGATAAAACTTCCGCACCACCGTGCTTTGGCCGAAAGATGGGTTCTTGCGCAGGTTGAACCTGGTGGCATATCGGGAAAGCCTGTTCTCGATGCTATTCACAGCCCCATGCGTAGGAAGAAACAGTTAGGTCTAGATTTGCAAGCCAAGTTAATAGTTGAAAGCGTTAGATGCTCTGGCGAAAAATGGATTTCTAGCATGAACGGCTGTTTGGCCCAAGGTGTGGGGTTCGTACATACACCAGGTATGGGATGGTTTGTCTTAGAGGAGACAGGACAGGTAACACCTCTCCGTCAATTAATAAAGTAATAACTATGGAAGATATGTATACTTATCTCTATAATCCCCTGACAGAATATTGCACAGGAAGACTATGGTATACAAGGTCTATGGGCTACTGTTCTTGGGGTAAATGAGAACGGGAGTGCGTTGAGTGCGAATGCTCTCGAGGAATTGGCGGAAATGTTCGTTATGAAAGATACGTTGGACTATATGTAGACGCTATCGAGATTGAATTTGACTTAGTATCACTCATTCAGAATCCGAGACTCAAAAACAGAACTACAGTCTCAAACTTATATACTGATACAGTGCAACTTAAGTGGGTCCAGGTGAGCTTTAGGTATATTGTTCATGAGCTATCGTAGTTTAATCTTCCCATGTCCATGTCACTTTACTGCCACACCAATCCTTTCCGATTCGATAATACAATAAACACAGGTTTCAGTACTGGCCCGTAGCAAGGGTTTCCTGGTGTGTCTTGGCGTTCCCCAATATGCACCTAATGTGTAATCCTTCGAATTCCAACCAGGATCGATGGCATAAGACCCCTATCCCTACAGATAAACCTCCAAAGAAGTTTTTTGATTATAATCTAGGTCGGTTGATGTGATATTGTTACCAATAGGTTGAAGGCCGCCGTCGGTTCTGGCATACGACGAACCGAGTGATATATCATGATTCATCCTCTTATCACTTAATTTGTTAGTACCCCGGAAATAACGATAGACCGCACGAGACTTTGGGGAAGACAAGATTAAATAACCTCAAAGTGAATATGAAAGAACTTTTAACCGTTTTGAAGAAGCCTTAGGACTTCCTTTCGGGTTTAACATCCGCTATTTTTCTTGATTCTGTCTGTATATAAACACGGATTTTCGAGAGAAAAAAACAGTATACTATCGGACATCTTACTTATCCGGATTAAACAACCCGGCAGTTATAAGGGCATGCATGACGACTGGCATTACAAGTCAGAAACAAAACTACGTTCGAGTCGTCTTTTCCCTTGGTGTTGCACTAAGAGAAGGCTCGGAGACTCTAAGGGGCATGACCGGAAGAATATTTTAATGGCATTAGTTACTATTACAAGTACTGCCAATTGTGCTGAGGGGCGCTCGAAACTAAAGAATTGAGTACAGTACCCGGGGCCTTGGAAGCTTAGTTTGATTCTATTTTTCGGCCGGGTTCCAAAATTATTGAATTTTTTCCACCGGATAATTTTGGTCTATAAAAGAACTCGCCGTGCGTATGCGGTGATATTTTTTTTTTTTCCTTTCATACATACACAAATATTCCAAGTCAAGTCAACACTGTCTATTTGCCTCTCACACATCACAAAACATATATTGTCTTTAAAATGCATAAACCTACCCTTCTTCTCACGGCCCTCTTTGGCCTCATCCTTCTCCTCCTCACCCCCACCGCCTACGCAAAGGACCCCTGCTGGTTCGCCCCCGGCTACGCCCCCCCCGTCCACGAAGCCAAAACAGCGCTCTCCAACTACCTCAAAACCTGCAACAACAACAACACCCCACGCGTCCCCATCATGCGCGGCAGTCAGGAGGTCTGGGGGTGCACCGACGACTTTGCAGTCTTTGAGAGGGCCGCCATCCGCATCTGCCCGTTCACTGACGCCCAGCACAAGAAGCCGAGGATCCAGTGGACGTGCGACGAGATCCGTGAGACGGGAGAGGCGCTGGTGGAGAAGTGCCAGAAGGATGGACTGGTGGCGGGGAGGATGAGCTTTAGGGATCCGGTTAGGGGTGAGATGAGGATTGCGTGGAATTATAGGAAGCCGATGCCGCCGCACTAAATAGGTTGGTTGTTGAGCCTGGCCGCTAGGTTTCTCGTTCTTTGGTTTCCCTTTTCTTGTACGGTCCTCGGAGCTGATGATGCTGGTCGTCTTTTCTATTTGGAATTGGGGGGGGGGGGGGGTTTGTTTCGAGTGGTGGAGGGGGCGGTAGCTTTGTTCCTGGTTTGATGGCATGAATTGTACACGATAAGCTTTTTCTTTCCTTTTCTTGTCTGTCTACATATCTTCTGGCCAACCTATTGAATTTAATCCGTAAATGTAAAAATACAATCATGGTGCGCTGCTAGCTCTCATGCATCTACTATTTATCAGTGCCAATCAATAGAACTTGCATGAAAGTAAAAAAAGTGCATCTTTACCTTATCACGTGATTACCCTTCGACCATGGCTTTTGCAAGCGTGATATGTACGTAGATGCAAGTAAGCACTAAATTATAAAGACACTTTACGAAAATCGAGAGACCCAATGCAACCAAAGAAAGGCTCAGAAGTCGCAGCAACACATGTGAAGGTAAGATCCGCACTTATTTTTCGTTCTACGAGTGTACTTATGTGCGTGTACATACATCACGAAACAGCATGACGGATTTTGCCACCGTGTCACGTAGAGACGAAAGACACGGAGCTGTGTGTATATATGAGACATTCCTATACTGTGGGAAAGGCCATTCATGTTATTCGGGCCCATTATGCAAAACGATTGCCTTCTATCTTCTTGTTAAGTTACTAGGCTCTAACGTGGTTTGGTCTGTCGTTGGACCTGGGATCGGTATTCTGTAGGCACTCTTGTGACTCGTATATTCAAGAGACGGCCAATAACGTACGTTGTAAGCTTTCCTGTGGCAGAACGCGTTTTAGTAGTGCTGCGAACTGGAGTCCTAGATTAATGCTATACTTGCAGTATTAGTAACACAGTAGCTTGGTGTAATACGTATAAGAGGCTGGGTAGTAGTAGGATTAAGAGCTCTTTGTCTGGGGTGGGTGTTGGATATTGGTATGGGATTTGTCGTTTGTGCTTTGTCATTGGCCGTAGTACTTTATCTCTTGTAGCTTCTAGCTAGTGAAATAGTGGTTTAAATCCTTTATAGCCTGGTAATTAAAACATACCACTATTTCAAACCAATATCAATAATCCTCCCATCTCCTTTCCACTCCCGAAAGCGCCAGCTGCACCACAAGCCATCGAGTGCAATCCCATGATGCAGCTGCCCCACTCTCACCCCAGCCACAACACCTCACCTCCCCCCCCCCCCACCAGCCACACCTGACCCAACACATCGGCACCGTGGCAGCCGAGATCTGCCCTCAACTCACTTCACTCACTCACTCACTCACTCACTCACGCACTCACTCACTCTTTCCCTCTCCCATACAACAACTCCCACCTCACTCACACGCTCTCACTCACTCACTCACTCTCTCTCCATACATACATACAGACATACATACACACCACCGTAAATCCCCCCCAACACACAAAGCACAATGCCGCGACAACGCGCTGCGTCGGGCGCTTCGTCAGCGTCGTCAAAGTCGGCGCCGGAGGACCAGGTATGCTGCTGCCCTGGCTGGGGGTGATCATGAGGGATGTGCTGGAGGTGGGAAGTGTGACGTTGCTAATGTGTAGCTGCGGTACGTAGGAGCTGGGGAGTATGTATGACTATCTGGCAAAGATCGTATTGCTGGGCCCGAGCGGGTGCGGGAAGTAAGTGCAGTTCGGTTCTGTCTGTTTTCTGGAGCTGGAGCTGAGTGGGTGGGTGGTGGGGGCCGCGGGGCGTTGCGGGGAGTTTGAGTATATGGGACGATATGGAAATGATAGCTAATAAGAACACCGCAATTAAATTAGATCATGTCTCCTGCATCGCTTCGTCCGCGGTGAATGTATAGCCTCCCGCAATGCGCCCAAGAGAGACAGACTCATACTAACCTCCCCCCCTCTAGGGCGCGTCCTCACCTCGCAAACCATCGGCGTCGAGTTCTCCAGCAAAATCATCAAAGTCGGCACGGGCCCACGCCGCAAGCGCATCAAGCTGCAGCTCTGGGACACGGCGGGCCAGGAACGCTTCCGCTCCGTGACCCGCTCCTACTACCGTGGGGCTGCCGGCGCCCTCCTCGTCTACGACATCACCAACCACACCACGTTCGCCTCCCTGCCCACATTCCTGACGGACGCGCGGGCGCTCGCGTCCCCGAACCTTGCGCTGCTGCTCGTCGGGAACAAGAACGACCTGTCGGCGCCGCCGGAGCTGGTTGATGTGGACCAGGCGCCGCCGGAGAGGGCCGTGAGTGCGGGGGAGGCGGCGAGGTGGGCGGATCTGAATGGGGTGCCGGTGGCGATGGAGACGAGTGCGTTGACGGGTGGGGGGGTGGATGAGGTGTTTGAGAGGCTGGCGGGAATCATTGTGACGAGGATTGAGCTGGGGGAGGTGGATCCGGATGATCCGATGAGCGGGATCCAGTATGGGGATGGAGGCGGATGGGTGGATGCAGGGGGACGGAGGAGGGGCGGGAGTGCGGGGGGTGGCAGCGGAGGGAGTATGAAGGGGAGGAGCGCACTGGCGGAGTGGGGGGATGTGTTTAGGGATGGGACGGGGAGGAAGAAGAGGGGGTGCTGTTAGCTGGTGGGAGGGGGGTAGAGGTGCGGTGGAGTGGGTGCGGTGGGTAAGTGGGTATATAGAGTAGATAGAGGGTTGGTAGAGGGTGGCTCTTTTTTTTTCTTTCTTAGTCTCTTCTTTCTTAGTCTCTTCTTGTCTCTTTTTTCTTTTTTCCTTTCTGTGTGGTGTTTTGCACTTATTAACTACTACTACTACTCTTCTTCTTTTTCTTCTGGTCTTCTTTTTACGCTCTTGTTCTTCTTCTTCTACCGTTATCCCCCCCCCGTCTTAATCGCATCGCGGTCTTTCATTTACCTCCTAGCTTAACTATAGTGCTGTCCGGTCTGATTCACCACTATCTACTATCTCTCCATCTCTTAGCCATGTTTGTCACGTTGTGTTAGTTAGCGTCGGGCGTAATCTCTCTTTCCTTTTCTTCTCCCTTTCTTTCTCTCTCTCTCTCTCTCTCTCTCTATTCCTCCTGTCTTGCACCCCTTATCACTGTCGTCATCTCTCTCTCTCTCTCTCTCTCTCTATATATATTTCTTCATTCCAGCTTTGTGGTCCGAAAAATCATTGCACAGACAAGGTGTGGCGCACACGCACACACGTGAGCCAGCCAGCCCCACAAGCCCGCCCAGCCGGGGAGGCGGGTGCCAGGGCCGGCCAGGCCAGCTTAGGTCAGAATCGGGGGGTCGGGGTCGGGGTCGGGGTCGGGGTCGGGATCGGGATCGGGAGGGAGGGAGGGAAACAATAATTACTACTACTACTACTACTTCTACACTGCTATCTCTTCTACTGTAGCTGCGTCCAAAACTGAAACCACAGAGCTCCGTTAGCTACTAGCTCTAGCTAGCTAGAGTAGCTCCCACCACTGCGCGCGGCCGTGAACCAACTACCTTCCAAACCTCACCAACCAGACCACTCCTCCCCCTCAGCTTCCCCTCATGCTCTTCAGCTCAATTCACAATCGCCCCTCTCGCCCCTCTCCGCACTGCACTGCACTGCACCCCCACACACACACACCAACTGACTGACGTCAAGCAAGACAAGCAGGACAAGACAAGCAAGACACGCGCGTGCGGGTGTGGATGGACCCTTGGTGTTTTCTTCGTTCCTTAGATCCCTTACCTACAGTACTCTACATTTACATACGCACGCTACCCTGCATTAGGACTCGCTTGTACAAGTCACGCTCGGCTCGAAATCGCACGGGAGAGGCGCGGTACGTACTGTAGGCAGGCAGAGAGTGACCGGTCCCCACTCGACCCAATCCCAATCCCAACCTCCTGTTCCTGTTCTCGCTTCGGAACAGCCCCTGCCCTGCTTGGTAAACAGAGAGAAGTTGGGATGAAATTATTTTTTTTTTGAGAGAGGGGGGGGGTCTTTTGTTTTGGTAGACGGGTTTTTAGATTTGGTTTGGTTTGGTTTGGAGGACGGACTAGAGACTAACTAACTAGCTACTAACTAACTATTGTAGTAGAGTAGTATTGGTAGGAGAGGTAGTATAGGAGAGGTAGGAGAGGGCAAAAAGCGAGTGGTAGGTAATAGGAACAGAGAAGTGAAGAGAGGAGGAGGAGGAGGAGGAGAACATATGAGAGAGATTGAGGTGGTAGTGAGTAGTCATTGATCGTGAGTAGGTAGGTAGGTGGTAGTAGTTAATAGTAGTAATAGAACCACAGAAACAAAACAGAAGATAACCAGCCGGTAAAAAAAGAAGAAAATCCGTTAATATAAAAAAAAAAAAAAAAGAACAGCAATCGCTCGTGAAAGAACACGCTCATAAAGCACACGTAAGATATAAAAAAATAAACAATGAAGGACCAACCCCCACACATGCTCACACGGGCATCATCATGGTATCATCAAATCACACATCCCGCAAAACCCGCATCCAAACCCTCAAAAAAAAAAAAAAAACGAAAGAAAAAAAAGCGAAAGAAGACTAGAAGAAGAAGAAAAAAGTAAGTTCAAATAAAAACTACTTAGCCTCGACCGACGCCACCACTGGGACAACGCCTTCCGTCGAGCTCTTCCTCTTGTGGCTAACGCTGGCGCTCCATATCAGCTTGCGCATCTTGTTGATTGCCTTTCCTTCCTTCAACTTCTCGCGCTCGGCGCGCTGCTTGTCTGTCTCGTCGCGCTGCTCCTCGAGCTCCTTTACGCGCGCCTCAAGCTCCTCCTTGGCCGCCTTGAGCTCCGCGATCTCGGTCTCGAGCGAGGCAGACTTGCGCTTGTAGAAGTTTAGCGACTCGATGAATTTCGCGAAGAAGTCCTCAACGTGCTTGACTACATGCATTTAGACGTTAGTATGATTTTTTCTTTTTCTTTTTTTTTTCTTTTTGAAGACTGGGATATTTATATATAGCAGGGATTGGGGGGGGGGGGGTCTGATCCCGTTGCAGATATCCCGTTGATATCCCGCTGGGGGGTGGTTGGGAAGGAGGCTGGAGGGATGGGATGGGGAGATGTGATTTGACTTACAGCCGGCAAGGTAGGCATCCTTGAGCTCCTGTTCTTCGGCACGGACCATTGGTGAAGGCTGGCGAGGGACGAGCTGCACGCAAACCGTTAGAAATTTTGCCTCACCAAAAAAAAACCAAAACAGATATCCCGTGTATAAACAGTATAAACGTCTCGAAGATAAAGAAACTTACATCGAGCGTAGAGGCACCGGCGGGCTGAGGCTTAGGGACAACGATTTTTGGCGATGATTCAGTATCAAGCATAGGGGCTGTCGGGGGAGCGCTTTCTTCAAGGTCCTCTAGTTCTGGAACGGTACAGGCACACGACGAGTTTGGGCGCGGGGGAACAACAACGATCTCAGTTGCGGTGGTGGTGACTAGGTCCTTGAGGATAGCGCCTGCTGTGGAGGGTCTTGATGGGGTTGTAGGTGCAGTGGTGGTGGTGGTGGTTGAGGTAGTAGTAGTAGCTGTTGGTGTGGACATGGCGAAAGGGAAGGGGGGGTGGGCAGGTGGTTATGTACTTAAGGGCCTGTTTCTAAGGGAAACGGGAAGGGAGAGGTAAGGTGGCGGGGAGAGGTTATGAACGGAAGCAGAAGCGCAAAGCAGGAGCGGGCAAACAGTCAGGCAAGGCAAGAGGAGGGAGGACAAGACGACTCAAACGGAGGGGGGAAAAAAGAAGTGCGTGGTGCAGCGCAGATATGGATTGGATGCGGGTGGTTGGTCGGTTTAATGTGACTGGGACTCGACTCAAAACCTTCGGAGGAGGATAGGATAGGCCTTCTTTTCCTCACCTCCCACCACCACCACCACCACCGTCCCCCCCCCCCTCGTAAGTGCGATGGAGAAAAGAAAGACCCTGACTGAAGGTAGGCATACAGCCTACATGTGGTGGCGGCCACTTCCACGTATGTGCATGGTTGGTTAATTCGGGGGTGTGCTGTGTCTCTCACCAAGGTATGAAGCATACTCTATGCGCGTTGGCCGTTGGGGGGGTCCATGGTGGAGGGGGGGGGAGGATCGTTAGTTACGATATAGCATACATGTATGGAACACAGTAGGTACAGTACCAATACTTACACTCTATCGAATATCAACTTCTTGCGACCCTATCAGGCGCACTCACCCGAAGAGGCAGCCAGGGGGGGGAGGGGGAGAGGGTGTTGATGATATACTCTAACCGGGATAGACAGCGCCTGCACGCCGATCCTGCATGAGAAAAACCCCCATTAAGGGTTTCTAACTAGTTTGGCCCCAGTCTTCGTGATGTTTTCATTCGCTGAAGGAGCTCAAGAGGGAGGAATCAAATGACCTCTCTACGTAATGGTACATACCCTAAACGTAAAGAAATGGGAGGTCCTTTCTGACCCATTTTATTACTACTAGGTAGTTCTTGTGGCTCCTCCTCCTCCTCCTCCTCCTCCGGGAGGCCTAGCTAGAGAGAGAAAGAGAGAGTACAAGGGGTCCCGGAAGCTGCCAAAAACTTTAGAGTGGATCGCGATTTGTTGCCTACATATTGTATCAGGACCCTTGATAAGATCTCTACATCCTGATTCTACTTAATTTACTTGCATCCGACAGGGAGGCATATCATTCCTACATACACATCCCATACTATTACTACTACTAGTATTACTCCAAGTATCTGACCGCACAAAAATAAAAAAAGATAGGCAATCAAGGCAGCAAAAAAACGCCCGGCGCCTCCTCCCCCTCTCTCGTTTGAAACCCGCATGTACCCGTATCAATCTGTAAGTAGGCACTCTGCTCTACTCTATTCTACTCCAACTAGAGTAACTCCACCAGATCTCGCGCTCGTGTATATATACTCTAACCACTCAACCGTACGAGTCTGGGTCCACGATGATGATGCTGATGATGCTGATGATGATGATATCTACTGGCCCTGCCTGCCTACCTACCTGCCTACTTCCAACAGCCCCACTTTCAAATCACAATTTTTTTTTTTTCTCCGAAAGAAACCCTCATCTTAACTAGCTACATACATACGCAGTACATGTAGCTCTCTTTCGGCGACGACGGCGGCGCACTACTCTCCTCTAACTGTACCTATAGATCTACTCTTCGTACTCCCGGCCAATAGGAGGGATGTTGATATAGAGTTAGTTTGGTTTGGCCCACCTCCCGGAGAGAAGGAAAAAGATGATCAGGCCAATACTATTTTCGATTTGTAGACTCGTTTTTTTTTTTGAGCGAATCAGTTTGAAGATGCGCGCGCGTGTGTGGTGGAGATTCCGGGCGCGCCCGCCAATATTGGCAATAGTTGATCATACCGTATCGTATCGTTTCGTATCCTATCGTTTTTACTCTACACTACACTACCTCTCCACCGCCGGCGGATTTCGACATTTGGTAGTGGTGGAAAGGAAGCTGGCCATGTAAAAACTACTACTGGATGCAATGTCCGGACCGGATAGGATAGGACCTTGATGGGCAGCTAGACTCGACATGACAGGACTAGATCGCGATGGGTTTGCTTTTTTTTTTTTTCCTTTCTGCTTTTATTTCTCTTCCTTCCTTTCCTAGAGTGATCGTTCCTTTTGTGATTTGATTTGATTTTTGTTTTCGGACACTGTATGTACAGGCATTGTTCTGCTGGGCGCCGTGATTTGTCAGAGCAGTTCATCGCTGGATGTAGTTAAAAAAAAAAAAGGGACCCTGATGATGCCTCGAGTGAGAAATTCTGATGCACACCATTGAACCGATGCAACGGTGGTGGTGGGTGGTCGTGGGCATGACTGAAGCGAACTGTGGGGTGCGAGGGGCGGGTGTAGGAAACAGAACGGCCCCCACATGAGCAGACGAGAAGAGAGAGGATTACATAGGTACATTCTGAATTCTACTCTACCTGCATAGACGTAATACCTACTCTAGGTACTCTAGAGCCTAGTATAGAAGAGAACAACCCCCCCTAAGAGGTCTACTTCGGTCTGCTATCAGCTCTATCTATCTACATCCTAACTCCTTCTATCTATTCGTCCCCCTTCTCCTCCTCACCTCTTGCATAAGTATTGGCACCGTAGCGAACAAGTCCAAGCAGCAGCAGCAGCATCACTTCGATACCACGCCACACACCCGCATTAAAAACACCCTTAGAACGATTGCTACGCACGCATAGCGCAGATGGCAATTTCAACCGCATGTGATGGATTGCACAGTTGAAAAAACGAGGGCCATACAGCGCATAACGATCAACTCTTTTCCTCACCGACCTAACCGCCACTCCATTGGTCAATCGAGACATTCTAAATGGACAGCAGCTACTGGACTACGTGTTTCATACATACCCACCCTGGGCACACACCCACCCCGCTTAGCACCTCCCTTGTCATCATCCTGCATGCTCTCTCTCGCAGCAATCAATCGCGTTACCCACGCACGCGTTGCGTTGCCGAGGAATGTAAAGCACACGATATTTGATATTTCTTCTCCTTCTCTTCCGACCATCACCCCCCTCCGGCAGATGGCTTCAATCAATCCCCCAGTTTCTTCCCCCTCCCTCTCGTTTCGAAAACGAAGAAAAGTATCATCATAAATGCAGCCTGCACTTCCTCACCGAACATCACTCGCAAAGGGGGGTGCAGAGTGGTGAGAGAAAGGGAGAGAGAGAAGCAAAATTTCAATGCAACTGTTCACTTAGTACAAAAATTGCACGCATCGATCACTTTTTTTTTCTTTCTTCGTTCTCTTTCTTGCTCCCCTCTCTCTTTCTCTCCCCATATTAAGGAATAACAGGGTCCTTGCATTGGTTTTCTGGAACGGGCATATTCCCTCTTGTAGGTCCTGTGGTACGATGATCAGCTGGCTGGCTGCTTTCGAAGCCGATCACAACCTCTCACGATGGTTGCTGCTTTCTGATACGGAGCAATGATTGACGGAGTTGAACCTTTATAAGCGCCCCAGTAAGAACTGTAGTAGTACGTATGTACAACACGGGGGATGAGAAATGCCCGAAATTTGTGGGGTAGGTAGGCAAAGCTTCATCTTATCAGATCCGATAAGAGACCTTGCAGCTCCCTCCCCCGATACGTGGAAGGAGCGCTCCCTTCCCCGTACTCGTGGGAAAGAAGAAACTTGCATCGATGCGTGTCGTTTATTTCAATATGCAGCACTTCCTATGCGGTCGTGAGTGATATTTCCCTTCCATCACCCCAGATACCATCATCATCTTTAGAAAATACCGGCATAAAAGCTCGTCGACGTGGCATACCCACCCAAAACGTTTAATCTAGGGTTAGGTTTTCAATTTGGAGTTTATCCTGATGAGCATCAAGCATTTGCCAAGAGTGTGCAGGTATCATTTCCCTGTTCTTCGTCCCATCCTCTCTGATCACTCCACCACCACCACCATCACCTCCAAGTTTCCCACTGCCTGAGTAGGTAAACCCACGGCCCAAGTAACTCTATTGTGTCTCATCAATTTTTATCAATGGGGAGCGCTCGGCTATCTCCTTATGCCCTTTCCAGTTTCCCGATGCCGGAAACCTCCTATCCTCAACAAATTCTCTATCCTGCGAATACAAGCTTTGATAGACTCTTCGTATCGTCGGCGGCATGTGTGTGTAGATAAGATTCGGAACCCCAAGATTCTCGCGCGCTTGGTGGTTGATTCCTAGCTGCATGTTATGATTCACAACGGATCACTCGGGTCCAAAGCGCAGCGCCGTACGTACATGTATGTAGCTGCCAGTTAAAAAGGGTCTCCTCCTCGTGATATTGACGTAAAACCAGCCGGCCGCGCACGACACAATGTACTTGCTCCGCACCGTTTGGTACGTATGTACGCGTCACCGGCGAACTTGCTGGTCTGGATGATTCTCGGCTCTGTGGGGATCTTTAGTGTTGACTGACAGCACCTTCTGGTAGTGTACCGGATCGGAGCGGAGACCTCTCCATGTGCCATATACATAGAGTACATGCCTTTGTGGCCCGAGAACACACACCTCCCCCCGCCTCTGTCCCGGGAATGTGGACCGTGCTGCTAATGTAGTGGCTAAGAAAATCTGAACCAAGTCCGTCCGAGACAGCGCATGTATGTGGTGCTCGGGCCTAACCAGTGTGTATTAGCTTTAGCTTTGTTCCTAATTACATACCGCGGCTTGGAGGGAAGAAGAAGCTAGATTAAAAGGATTTTCCGGTAGAGTAGAGTAGAGCATGTGGAAGTATGATGCGCAATAATAACACAGCCCCAACGTGCTCTCACTGGTAGAGTAATCCCAAAGGATTACGTCGGCGCCGGTGGTGGTGGTGGTGGTGGTGGGCAACCCACCCAGGGTTCCCCTATGCAGTAATCTGGCCGAAGAGTGGTGGTGGTGCGCCTAGCTGATTAGTAGTTTAAGCTTCTTCGAAGGTGTCGTGCGGGCTTTTCCCCAGGTTTTGGAGTCGAGGCTGCAAATTAAAATCTAGATGGAGTGGAGTATATCTATGTCTCAGAAGTCAAACCTGGCAGTTGGATTGTGTAGTAGACTAGAGTAGATAAACCGGGAGATTTCTGGCTGCAATATATAGAAGGCTGGGACCGGATTGTCACCGTGTGTCACTCGTTCTTGCTTTTTTTCTCCTTCCCCCCACTCCCCCCCGCGCCGCGCCGCGGAAGAGGCTGGGTTACATACCTCGTATACTCTTATTGTGACCCGTCGCGTGATGGGGAATGAATAGCTACATACCTATGTAAGTGCCGTTATATAGAGTAGAGCAGTGTGGCGTAATTAAAACGTACCGAGAATTAAAGCCATACACAGCTCGGCCTACATTATCCTACCCTAAGATCTATTGAGATCTGGGAGTTGCACCAGATGGCCATAACATGTGAAATATTGCGCCTCCGGCCTGTCATTCTCTTACACCGCAGCCTTGTCCCGCGAAAGCTGCCGTGGGACGCCTGGATGGGGATGGGACTCCTCAATCGGACGGGAAATGCACGTGTTGGTCGTGAACGAGTGATATTTCGTGTCGACGCCATATGTCGAGTCCGGCCTCGCGCGCATGGCAGATGAGCGCGAATCAGGTACGGTAGCTATAGGAGGCTCGTTGGGAGATCTAGGTGGGATTGGATTAGTTAAATTAATTAATGGGTAATTTCGAATTCATGAATCGATCTCTTGTGAATCGAAGCGGAGCAGAGGTAAAGAACCGAAAAACGTAGCTAGATGAAATTGATGAGCTCTAGAGGACAACTACATGTATAGATGACTTCGTGCTTTAGTGAGCCCGATAAATGTCGAATGGATAAACGACTCTCCTAACTAGCTGAATGGCCTTTACTAAAGGACTGACTTACGTATGTCAGTACTCCTTGGCACTAAACTGTATTTCCATGCCTCCAGCACTATATATCACCGCCGCGGGCGGCTCTCCTCTCTTAAACACTTCGTCATCGCCATCACCATCATCGGCATCGCCATCACCGCCATCACCAGTACGTACCGAGGTAGGTCATATCCATTGTGCTAATTGGTATAAACACTGCTAAACGCAGCAGCAGCAGCAGCAGCAGCGATGAGCAGTAGGCCCATTGAAAGATGGGATCGACTAAATTAGTTAACTTAGTATAACGGGTGTACGTTTCCGGAGATGAATCAATCCCTTGTGAAGCAAACCGCAAAGGGCCGGAAAGAACCGAAAACGTAGATGAAGCTGAGGGGTATACGTAGAAACAAAGGAGAAAGAGAGAACGATATCGATATATAGCTCTCTCTTTATAGTGACAAGCTGTTAGAGGCTAAAAACTACTTGCATTGACCTCGGCCTCTAGTTGATGCAAAAGTACTAGCTAGTGCATGTGGTTTGGAACAAAAAAAGATACATCATAATGGAAACGTTCAACAATGCAATTGTTAATTATAATAACATCCCACTATTTACCGCACTGGCCGCAACCAATAATTGCTACGTATGCAAATGAGGGAACTTTATTTTTGGATACTCACCGTGTACCGTACCGCCGATGATGATCATGGTAGAGACCAGCCTATCCCTTAACCAGGCCGACCCGCTGATATAGGGGTTGAATATGTGTGAGAGAGATCTATTATTTGATAAGAAAGATAAGGACATCTGTTAGTAAAAGCCACTTTTTTTTTGGGTCAGCACTTTGGTGATGCTTCAAGGGATAGTCGGAGGTATGTGGGGTAACTAAGACGATCATAATCTCTCACTCGGAGCTAGTTAGCGTCAAGCCACTTTTTTCACTTTTTCTTTTTTTTCCACTTTTTTTTCTTTTTTTTTGTTTAATTCATTAACCAGTCAAGTCACTCTATGTATGTATTTCGCGACACTCATAGCACAAGTAAGGAATTCTGGGAATTCTGCATCATGGTGATGAGTGAGTACATGTAGTCCTGCTCAGGTTGAGATATCAAGGGTTAGGTTTTATATCCGCACTCACATTCAAGACATTCACATCTAAAACGCTTATGCCAGGGTAGTGTAACGGCCCCCCATAGAATTTATATAAAGCCCACGAATCGATTGGCGCCCTCTTAAATAAGGCAGTTAGTTGCAAGGGTCCCATTCCCATAGCATAGAATGCCGAGCCCGGGCCCGGGGTCAATGACGGGCAGGCAGACGGTCAAGGGTTAGGTTTCACATTCACATTCACATTCACCTCCAACACCAACCATGCAGCCAGTGAAGCAAGCAATCGAGGAACAACCATGATGATACAGTTTACAATACAGGTCCAAACAGCCAATAAAACACACACCACAATATAAGAAAAGAAAGAAAGAATAAAGAAAAAAGCCCAACCGACGACCGACCCACAACTCCCCAACAATTGACCAGAAAACAAACACCCAAGCAGCCCCCCCCTCCGGGCCCTAGCTACTTTTTTTTTTTTAAACGTCTCTCTCTCTTGCAACAATGCAAGCTTAGTCCTGGGGCCCGTCAATCAAGATCTTGATCCCCTTCCCCTTCTTCTGCTCCTCAAACGCCTTCTCTGCATCCTCAAACTTAAACCTGCTCGTGATAAGCTCCTTCACGCTGACCGAGCCCGCCGCCAGCAGGTCCACGGCAAGCTTGTAGTCGCCCGGCCCGTACCTGAAGCTGCCCTTCATGGTAATCTCCTTGCAGCACATCGCCATGATCGGGAACGAGATCTCGTCGGCGCCCATACCGGCCTGGACATACGTCCCCCCGGTACGGACCACGTGGATCGCCGTATTGATCGACGGTGCGGCGCCAGAGGCGTCAATAGCGATGTCGGCGCCAAAGCCGAGATCAAACTGCTTGATGATCTCTGCGGCATTGACCTTGGGATCGCGCGAGTGCATGGCATTGAAGACGCCCGTAGCAGCATATGTGAGCGCGAACTCCAAACGGGGCTGCACAATATCGACCATGATAACCTTGACCGCGCCATGCGCCTTTGCAACCGCGGCGATCAGCAGGCCGACAGGGCCAGCGCCAAAGACGACGACGGTGTTTCCGGGCTGCACGTTAGCCTGGCGGACAACGTGGACGCCGACGGCGAGAGGCTCGACGAGCGCGCCCTCGTCGTTGGACACATGGGGTGGGAGCGGCACGCAGAAGTCTTCGGGGAGGACGTAGTACTTTGCGAGTGTGCCGTCGTAGGGTGGGGTGGCGGCGAAGCGCATGTCGGTGCAGAGGTTGTAGGTGCCGGCTTTGCAGTAGGGGCAGAGACGACAGGGGACGCCGGGCTCGAGCGCGACGCGGTCGCCGGGGTGCAGGTGTTTGCAGGCGGGGCCAGTCTCGACGACGGTGCCGGCGGATTCGTGGCCGAGGACCATGGGCGCGGTGAGGATGAAGTCGGCGATGCGGCCGTGTTCCCAGTAGTGGACCTGCAGGTTTTGCGGGGTTAGCCAATTAAATTGTGGTGATAGTTGTATTATATGTATTTAGAGAGCCATGAACTCTGGGGTAGAGCTTGGACTTACATCAGATCCACAGATACCAGTGACACCGACACGGATGAGCACATCGCTGGGGTTCTTGAGCGTCGGGATCGGGCGGTCCTCAATAGTCACGTTCTTGACGGCGTTCAGGATGAACGAGGGGTTCTTTGGGGCCGAGAAGTGTTGTGTTAGCTGCGTGAGACGACGGGAGGCAGAGCATGGATAGCAGGTGCAGGAGGGGCTTACCTCGTGCTTAGCAGAAGCCATTGTTTTTTGTTTTTTTTACTTTTTGGGGGTGGAGAGTTATGGATTGATTGATTGAGTATATATCGAGATGGCTATGAAGACGAAGTACACACAAGCTGATGGGGTACGAGAAATCTGGTGGATATATGGGGGAGTCGAGTAGAGATGCAGACGATGAATGGAGATGGAGAATGGAGGATGAAGATGGAGGACAGAGGACAGAGGACGAGCGAGGGAGGGCCCCAAACTTAAACCAAGAGGAAGAAACAGGTAACTGCCACGACGCACGGAGTGGGAAACAATCCCCATCCCCATCCCATCCCCATCCCCTTTCCTCTTCCACATCATTCCACCACCACCACCACCAAAGCGGGGGAGCTGCGCTGCTCCTCGGCCGCAAGCTACATATCAGCATCACTCGTAATGTAATATCGGCTAATAAGAGGATCCATTGAAAATCCCACTACATCTAGAGGGTCATACGTACCTACCTGTACCTACTTCTACCGTTCTGTTGCAAAAGCAATTCACTTAATTCCTGTCTGCCTCGAAGACGATGTTTGGTGGGGTAGCGTAGGTGAAGATAGAGCTATCACTTTAGCCTGAATTGCACCCCCCCGACACACCACACCCCACCCCACCCCTAACCCTAGCTAGCTAATGAACCGTCATCATCCCGCTCTCCGGATCCATCAAAAAAAAAGCTTTTACCAGGAAGCTAGGAAGCGGGAAGGGGAAGAGGCGGTCATTGAGCCTAAACTCTGGGCTCTAGCTCTAGAAGGGCCATCAATCCAACTGACATCAGATGACCTCCCCCCATGGAGGCTTTCTGAAGCATCGTGAAAAAAAAAAAAACTCTTCTGCATACTACATACATACACGCACTGGCAAGTTCCAACTAACCCGACGGACGTCCCCCCCCCCACTTTGGGTTTTGTAGCCCTCAGGATGAACTCGGGTAATGGATATTTTGGGATTAGAGACGGCGGGCGGACTCAAGTTAGGCTCAATTCCAAGGCTCTCTCTCGGGAGTGCATGTAGTTTTTGGGGGCATGCGATGTTTGGGATCAGCTGTTTTATTTGGCAAATATCGATAGAGCCCAGAAGGTTCTTCTCTTCTGCTCTTCAGTTTCCCGGAATATACATGTATGCTTGTTGGCTCTTGCATTGGGGTTCTTTTGCCTGTTGTGATATGTATATGGACCCCTAACCCTCTCCTCTGCCTGCCTCAGCTCCCAGGCGAGCGAGTGATGGCCAATGTCTGGCTGTGCCATGTGTGTTGCGCGCACGGAGAAGGGTGTGGGGTGGGATAATACGCAGGTGATTATCCGGTGTTTCAAACCCGACAATGCGGTACTCCAACACACACACACACTTGCACTCACTCTTAATATTTACTACATGTATCTATCTACTCAAGTGTCAATGATAGCTCTGTATCTAAAACCCTCTCTCTGCTGCTGCTGCTGCTGCTGCCCGTTCACAGAACATCACTCTCCTGCCAATGATTGGCTGGTGCGCGTAACCGAAGCGCTCGCTCGCGTGCCTCGGTCGGCAGCACAGACGTCATCCTCCAATAATTCACATGCCAACACAGACAGACAGAGAGACAGCTGTCAGTCAGTGGCAGCTCTCCATCACCATCACCACCACCACCACAACAATCACCACCACCATTAACCACCACAAACCTATATCACCATCACCACCAGCAGCAGCATGTCGCTCTTCTCACTCCTCAACCCCGCCAACATAATCCCCCGTTTCCCGCCCTATCCCGGCCCCTACGCCGTCGGTTCCTTCGAGCTCGAGATCCCCGTGGCGTCGCTGGGCGGCATGGCCGGCGTCGCAGAGACCGTCCAGTTTCGTGTATTCTATCCGACGGAGAAGCCGGTTGAGATACCGATATCGGCGCAGCCGGCGAGCAGCTGGTGGGGCAGCAAGTGCGATAAGAAGACCGCCGCCGCCACCGCCACCGCCGCGGTGGACCCAGCACAGGAGGAGAAGCTCTCAGAGGCAGTGAACCAAACGACGGCGACGGGGGGTGCGAAGCCAGTGAGATGGCTGCCGGAGCCGCATCAGAGGGAGTATCTGAGCGCCTATGTACGCTTCCTCGGCGCCAGCTCCGGGTTTGCAGAGATTGTGTCGTGAGTACTTTTGGAGACAATCAGCATAATGCAATGTCTAGTCCCAGTACTAGTAGCTAAGTGGGTGAGCGTGTGTGATTGGATAGATACGGCGGCCGCCTCCTCCACTACATCACCCTCCCCGTCACCGCCGATGCCCCGCTGCTCCCGAAACCACTCGACCACCGCTTCCCAACCATGATCTTCTCCCACGGCCTCGGCGGCACGCGCCTCGCCTACTCCCACATCTGCGGGTCAATGGCCTCGTACGGCATCGTGGTCGTGGCGCCCGAACACCGCGACGGCAGCGCCCCCGTCAGCTTCGTCAAGTCGTCGTCGCCAGACTCGCCCGAGACCGAGATTTCCGGCAGCAAGCCTGAAAGCGGCGAGCCGGGGATTGACGATACCGCAAACACTCCTCCGCAGAAGGATGCGAATGGTAGGGCTCAGGTGGACTACATAACGCACCCGCACCACCCCTCGGAAGAGACCGCGGCCGGGCGTAACGCGCAGCTCGAGATCCGTATGCACGAGGTAAGCCTGATATACACGGCGCTGTGCAAGCTTGACCGTGGCATTCTGCCCGCAAACAGCAGCATCTCCACCCCCGGCGAGGCCGGAAAGGACCTTCTCAGCACGTTTAAAGACCGCCTCGACATCCGCACGCCCGGCCGCCTCATCTGGGCCGGCCACTCCTTCGGCGCATCAACAATGTTCCAAATGATCAAGACCGTCGCCACCCCGCCCTCCACCAACCCAGACTTTGCACCTCTCTTCACCCCACCGCCCTCCGACGACGATGTGCTTCCGCTAAAGGCCCAGATCACTGCGGACTCGCCCCTCATGCTGTTGGATCTCTGGTGTCTGCCGCTGCTTGGAAAGCGCACCAGCGCCCTCTTCAAGCACCCACTCCCGCAGATCGCCGCAGACAAGGGCCGCAACGTCCTCGCCGTCATGTCGGAGGAGTTCTGGAAATGGAAAGAGAACCTCAACGGCGTGCGCCGTGTGCTCTCGCACGATCCTGGCCGCAAGCGTGGGACAGAGCACCATAAGTGGTTCGAGCAGTGGGACGAACACCACGAGTCGCTCGCGTCGCTGGAGTCGGCGCAGTTGGAGGTTGGAGGCCAGATTGTGGCGCCGCAGGGAGTGACGCCGACGCCGACGAGGCCGGCGAGTGTGGCAGGGAGGGAGCAGCCGAGGTTCTTTTATGCGCTGAAGAGTGCACATTTGTCGCAGAGTGATTTTGGCGTGCTGTTTCCGAGGGCGATTAGAAAGGCGGAGGAGCCTGAGAGGATATTGGAGCTGAATGTGAGGGCGGCGGTGCAGTGGTTGAGGGATGCGGGGTATGCGGGGGTGTTGGGTGGGTATGAGGGTGAGGTGGGTGGAGATGAAGCGATTTTTGAGGGGGAGGTGGAGGGGTGGGCGAGGATTGGGTTGGAGGAGGTGGAGGCAGCGGTGGAGGGTACAGGAGGGAGTGGTGGAGGGGAAGGACTAGAAGGAGAAGAAGGTATTGTAGAACGGGTGGCCGAGTGAGAGGGTGTGAATGAGACGTGATAGGCGTTTTAGTTGTTTTTAGATAGTAGAGCGGTATACCACTGCATACAGATGCTCTTATAAACGTATAGCTTTGTAGCATTTATAAATTAAATTATATTTTCATGGATAGTCGTGACTTTTGGTATTGGCGCGGTTGTTGTGCTTGTGGTCGTGGTCGTTGTAGTTTTGGTTGTAGTTGTGGTTGTAGTGTGGTCGCCAAGACATGCAGTATTATCATTACCCCTCCTTGTTCCAGCTTAGGCAACCAACACACTACCGCCAGTAGAGTGATAGAATACCGTTCCATCTATCTATCCAGTAAGAGGCGAATAACCCCTATTGATCAACCAATTCCTAGACTGCGAAGAACCAGATGGTTTGCCTACACATGTGGCTATGCAGTAACTCTTCGATCCCGGTGGATCGATATCGGGGTGGGATGGGGTGGGAACTAGGGCGGTATGTGTTCATTCGTACTGGAGAGAAGAAGGACGCCTTGAAGCTAGAAGGGAGATATCCCAGCAGTAATATTATGGATATTTAGGTATCTCTGTTTGTGCCTTGTCCCTGGGAAAACGTGTAGGTGTTTATATTGCGTGGATTTGATAACTCGACGCTGAGAGACATCGATGCCGGCCGGATTGGAGTTGATATGCGAGAGATCTTTTCAGTTTGCGCGTAGAGTATAGAGGTACCAGAGCCCCGGCGGCTGGGTAGTACATTCTGGCTTGACATTTCATCCATAGGTTCGATTGAACTGGTTACTGCAGTTTTTTTGAAGGGTTAGAGTTCTGTGTAAAGCTGATGTCTAAGGGTATCGACTTACTTTAAGTGGTTCTGGGAAGGTTTGCATCGTAAAGCACTCTCCCAGTGCTCTCACATTAATGTACCGTATGTAAACTATTCTCTTCCACTGTTAGTTTCTAGTATCGAGCTTACTCATTGGGGGGAGGAGAGAGACGGAGACTTCCGTTTTCTCTCACGTCTATCCCCTCTCTATCCTGTGACTCTATTCAGCGACCAGCGGTACAATCTCTCAAGTTAACCTTCCATAGTACAGCTAATGTGAAAGCGGCTCTTGGTCTGAGACATACCGAGTGAGAATCTGTGATGCTGATTCGTGCTAAAGTTATACCAGGTGTGTGAGAAGGGAGTTATGGACGGTGCGTTTCAAGATTGAAAATATGCCCTGGGGAGTGTTTTGGGTTATGCGGGGGTGTGGTACATACGTGCAAGGTTTCAAAGTAAAGGTGCAAAAGTATGAGGTTGGTCATCAACCCCTGTGGTGTGTGGCTGTTATCTTGGGCCACAGACAGGACAAAAGAGAGAGGAGCAGGAGCGGGGCGCGTGGTTGTATTAGAAGTTTAAGAATCTAGCCAAGCATTTATATCTTAGATCTGGATCATGACACCGTAATCTAGATCTCTATAGCAATGTGTCACATAGTTGATTAGGTACATGTGTTCGCCTGGCACCTATGTGACAGACTATTCTCATTGTAGTGTTTGGTTGTTAACTTCATAGTGGTTTGTATGGACGAGACGTCGCTATCTTGATGCTTAGCGATACTACAAGTGCGATTCTTTCACGCAGAGCTGTGAACTTTACGTATTAGATGCATCATGTAGCTACGTAGGGACAAGAATGACATAGATACGACTTAATTGGCCTGTATATTCGGTTGTAGAAGAGTACATGGTATACCATTCACAATGGTACTGTTAGCATATTACATCATAGATTTCACCACCCCCAAAGACTATCATGCGAGTGCAGAATGCGTTTTCCATTGCTCCTTCCAGGCCAGAAAGAAGAGGGCGATTGAGGTTAGCCTTGCGTGCGGAAGGGGCTCGGCACTAGCTTGGTGAAGGGAAGCATGTAGGTACATGTAGTACTTTAGACTAGAGAAAGACCACTCCCTCTTCTCAACCTCGACCACCACTACCACCAACACAACCACCATTACCTCCTCATTCAAGCTAGTTGTCATTCAAGTTTTCAATCAATCCGTTCATTAAGGCTCCAGTGTCTACATAATTCCCGCTTGATCTTCTTTTTCTTCCTGTCGGGGGCCCATGGTCCCATTGGCTTTGAAGTGATCCTGGGCAAATGTTCGCTGGACACACACAACGCCGTTAACCGGGTGAACAACGAACAACAAAGCACTCATGACCGAGAAGCCACCGGTATGCCGGCATATCTATGAGGCCACTTTATTTGATTCGAGTAGAGGACATTTCCTTGCCTGTTTCGAGTGTATGTACGCTTATACTCTGCCCTAGCTACCTTATCTCAAGATATCTAATGTCTGCTTGCAATTGTGTTGCCGGTTTGTTTTTGCAGTCGGGAGTTCAAACTCATGAAACAAATGCCACCTCACCGCCTCGCTATCATTTCATCATGGACTACATGTATGCCCGCTCGAAGCGAGCAAGGTAAGAAAGAAAGAAAGCTCATGGGGCCGACGTGTCCGATGTGTGTAAACCGATCCTTATGAGCATCACCCACAGGTCCCTAGCTAGCTGCACGGATGATAAGACCTCAACTATGACAACCAACTCCCCAAATCGCCCGCAGCAGGTTTGCCTGAAACCTGGAGTATGGTTCAGACCGCTTCGTTCGGGGAGCGCAGGCCGGACCGCATTATGTCTGCATAGTATGTACATAGGCATCCGATCGATGAGCGAGGTCGGCGAGCATGCACCTACACCTACGTACCTACGTAGGTACAAAGCTTGTGGCGGCCGACCGACCCACTCGCACCCCATATCCGATGAATAAATTGCGATACGTCAACTTGCCCTTTATGCAGGGTGGGTAGCCACATACATAGGCATGCGGGGAAGTTCTTGTCTCAACCGCATATGTACCTACAGGAACTCCGGTCATACCGGACCGGGCAGCTATCGATAAAGAATTAACTAACGTGCAACCCCGCAGTGCAGTTGCAGTTGACGTCGGCTTATGTAGTTAATTTCGACCCCACCATCAACTACTCTAGTTAACTGGGTATGCACCCCGCACGTGAGGTTTTCTTTTTGCTTTGAAACGTCGGCTCGCGTTGCATCCCTTGCTACACTACTCTACTTGGACTTGATTAGAATAAATATTCCGATCGGTCAGGTACGGATAGCAGGAGAGAGTGGTGGTTGTAACACCTGGTTATCTGGAGCTGTGAGGGGTATCGCAATTTTCCATGGCAAAGATCAGCGGTATACCTGCATATATACCCTAGACTTCTCGGCAGCGCCTCCGAACACCTCTCCTCCGCGCGCGGGCCGATAGGGAAAAGACTGGGCAGTAATAGGTAACCTGCTCAGTTCTCCGTGTCACCTCTTGGGATAGTTAATTTGCGGCCGGCGGGATGGAAGGTTAACCTGACATGATCGCTATACTTTGCGCAAGACAGCCGGGATTATGAGGTTAAGACATATATGCATATCCCGGGACGGATTACATGTGGGGTTTGTTTCGTGTGTTAAGTATGTTACAACTTACTATGTGCATGGAAAGGGAATAGCCCCCAGGGAATGAAACACAGTAGATATGCCTACCACCGGACACCTTGTGCGGGGGTCACAGAAAAGGTTAAGATGTGCGGCGACGATGACCGGTCGAGTGACACGCTATGATCAAACAACAGTCATCCTATCTGATTCCGTATGCACCTATATACTTGCGCTTATTAAGAAAGCGTCTCGGATCAATCTTTCCGGATTATTCGCGCCGATAAGCAACGATTCACAACATATCACTCGGCCCAACATCCACCCATTCTGATATATACGCCACTAGCCGCACAAATAAGAATTTGCTATCTTGATAGCCAGGCGCTTACGACAAATAGTAAGTAATCATAGCCGTGCACGAGATTAACGGCTATCTAGGATTCTCCCCCAGGGTTGACTTGTAATTAAATCCCACAAGGATAGCGTTGTTTTACTTCCTTAATAACAAACATCTTGCCCCTACAGCGCCGGGAGTTCTCAGGGACATTGCATTGTTTTGAGTACGGGGGAAACGCCTGTTCCCTTATAAGTGCTAGCTACATACAAGTACATGGAATAAAAAAAAATCCAAACACCGGAGCCCAGTCTCCATACGTACAGACAAAAAGAACCGTTTCATTCCCTATGTCCCTGCCGTCCAATCATGATCACAAAAACCAGTCGAACGCTGTGCAAAAGAAGAAAAAAAAAGAAAAAAAGAAGGTAAAGGAGTGGAAGACAGCTAGAATAGACTAACTAGTTACATAACCGTACAGAGCTTACTCGATGTGTACCAACTGTCTTCATTCAGGTATACAGAGAACAAAAAACCAAAAAAAAAGTCGTGAAGAATAATACAAAGAAAAGAAGAAAAAAACCACTGAAGATTAGTAGTTTTCTTCAAGTCCTTTGTCCAAGATGCCTCGGTCAGTGATGACAACGATGTGTTTCTGCACAGACTTCTGTTTCGGATATGGTGCGTCGAAGATCTCGTTGATCTCTTCTAGCGTCCGGCCCTTGGTTTCAACAAAGCTACACAGACTAATTAGTACGATAGTCAGGAGGAATAGACGAATAGGGAAGAAATGGACTTACAAGAAGTATATGAAGACCACCTCAAAGACGTCCCAGGCGATGTACACAAAGTAGAACTTCCACTTAATCTTATCCCACACCGTCGGGATAGCATAAGTGTTGAAGAAAGCCGCAATATTCACAAACAAGTTATAAAGTCCCATCCCCTTCGCTCGGGTCTCGTACGAAAGACACTCGACCGGATACAGAGCCTGTAACGGTGTGTATGCAAACGAATACGTGATGCCAAAGATATAAATAAACGCAATTGTCGAGCGAGAACCGTACTGGTTCTTGTTCGTCTCCTCACCATAGAGCGCCGTGAGCGTCGTGATGATGGTCCACCAGAGCACAAACAAGGAGGTTCCTATAAGTAGCACGTTCCTGCGACCTAGGCGGTCCACAAAGCGGGCACCGATAGTTGCCATGACGAAT